TGACACTCTCGGCAATTCCAAGTTCGTCTGATACTTCCAGTTGGGTACGGCCACATTCCAGACCGCCGATAATTGTACCACGTAAAAAATCATTCAAATGTGTCCTTTGTGTCATAACTATTTGGTTATTTAGTTTGTAGTTTGTAGCTTTTTAAGTTTGTAGCTTTGAGGTCCGGATTATAGATCATTCTGGATTATGGGTGTCCGAATTAACGACTTTTGACTGTAGTAAAAAGCAGACAGTAATGGCAGATGACAAAAATTAAGGATCTGTTGTCTTTGTATTTGGCAGAAATTATGAACGCTTAAGGATCAAAAATCATTTCCAAAAAACCTAAGGACTTTTAAGGACCATACAAACTCTAATTATACTATTTGGAAGGCTTAAATAAATAAATAAAAAAATCAGTGAATAGAATAAATTTAGAAACATAAATGAGTAATGCAGGTCTCTCACATTTTATAAAAATAGAATGTTGTGGTAGAAATTTTTAATGAGCCAAAATGGCATGAATCTGCAAAGCTAAGAAGCAACTAACATTAATGTAAAAAATCTAGGTCAAATATCATGTCTGCACATTTGCAAATATTCCAGTACCTTAGAAAAATATAGGTAGTGCAATCACCTTCCAAAAGTAGAAAGACAGTAAACCTGATGGTAAAAGTGGTGATAGTAAAGAAAGTGTCTTAAGCTGATTTGCCAGACATTAGATAATGGGAGATGCAAGAAAGAATACTGTCATTTGTTCCATCAGGTCACAATGCTTATACATTTTCCATTTGTTATGGAAGATCCAGGAAATGTTTTTTCAAGATAAGCCTTTCTTAAAACTCATTACTCAAAAAATTATAAAATATTAAAAAAAAATTATGACTTGTAGCATATATTTAGATATTAAGATTCATTACAGAGCTAGAAAATACACTTGCAAAAGTAAAATAATGTTAGAAATCTTTGATGTAAACATTGTATGAAAAAACAAAATTTAAGATTGTGTACATTAACTTACATACTAAACTTATGGCTTTCCTTACAGCTGCAAGCAGAATTATAATTTTATCATGATATATATATTTCCACATTTTCTCCAACAAAGGAGATTTTCAGAGATTTCACGAATAATAAATAAACCCATTACTTTCAGAAGTTTTCATGTCCTTTCAAAAGTTTCATTATCATTGAGTTTCTAACATTAGACTATTTTTCATATTTTTAGGCAAAAAATATACTGTAAAAAAATTCCATTCCAAAATCTAAACCAGAACATTAAACCTTGAATCAGTATTTCTTGTCAGAAAATAACTATTTCTATTGAAGCACACAATAATGTTATTTAAATCTTTTACTTTGTCTCTTTTAATACTGCACAGCTTGTTCCTTGCCAAAATATGTGTACTTGATTAGGGTGCCAGATGTATTTAAACTAATTCACATGGAAATTCATTCCGATTTTGGAGCTCCCAAAGGATCGTACAAAACAAAAGTATGTTTCGATATCCATCAAACAAAATGTGGAATTGCTGCAAAAAATGGATAAAGACATGAAGAATGTGAGGTTAGTGAAAACGAAAAAATTTCGATTGACAAGTTAGTCGGTATTCTCGGCACAGCAATTAACAGGACTTGAACAGTGGAACTTTGTAACTGAACAAGAAATTATGTCTGTTTATAGAATTAAAGAGAAAGTATTATATACATAAACGAAGCAACTTAAAACAACTTACATTGAAAAAGAATGTTTAATAAAGTAAACAAATAAATATTAAGCTTTTTTTTTTTTTTTTGTAAATTTTGATACCCTTTAGATCATAATTGTTCTTTATTTCATAAATTACGGTTTCATATTTTTAATTTTAGAATTTCTGCATGCCATCTTACTAGATTTAAACTGATGATCTATAATCCGGAATCGCCGAAGTCCCGACGAGTCTGGATTAACGACTTTTGACCGTATAGTCGTGTTTCATCACAACTGAAGAAAAAAGTTTGTTTCTTACATTTTTTAAACTAGAGGGAATTTCTCTTTTTGTTCGATTTACTGTTCTGACATGACTCAATCTTTTTGATTTTAGGGATTTTGCAAGTTTTACTGATGTAAAGAAACTGTTTGTAGTTATATTTCGGCCAGTATTTTTGTAAGGATCAACTAAACGATTTACTACGTTTACTCCTAAACTTTGATCACTTGGTCTCATTTCTTTTTTTCCTAAATATGGAAATCCGTTTAATAAGTATTTTGTCCTAATGTCTACTGCTAGCCAAAATTTTATTCCAAATTTATCGGGCTTGTTAGGCATACTATACTGTAAAAAACCCAACATCTTGATTTTGTAGAGAATAACCGTTCATCAGTCATAATGTTTTCATTTGGTTTGTAGCAAAGCTTACAGTTTTTTATTAAAAAACTATTCCATACCTTGGATATTAGTGCAAATTTATCACACTGCAAACGTGAAGACCTTGTTAGTTTATTATAAAAACGAAAAAATTTCATAATTTTCAGAAACCTATCTCTACTCATAGTTTCATGAAAAAAACTTTGATCCCCAAGTCTTGGACCACAAACTAAGAATTGGTAAGCCCTTGGTGGCTAATGTCCTCCTTACATACAGCAACGCTATGAATGCTTCCAGTTCTGCTAATAAAATAATGAATGAGTCATTATGAAGTTTACGCTTGGCTTCAGCATCAGTACACTGCTTTATGACGCGTAAAATTTTTTCATTTATTATTAACTTCCACGCACTAAGAGCTTTCCCAGAATAAATGTGACGTTTAGCATAGGATGTCGGTCCTGCATTTTCTCGCAAGATATTTTGCAAGGGTCGCCGACCAGAAGTATTTGAAGTATTTTCTACTTTCCACGCAGTTCCATCACTAGTAATTTCTTTACAAGTGTTAGTCTGAATTACGTTGAATTTCATATTCCCTTTTGAGCGTCTACTAGTTCCCACTTTCTTTGGCATTCTTAGATACGGCAGAATATGAACTCGTAGAAACAAATCTATTTGTACTTTCACTTGAGTTAGAGGATGATATTCCCTGATTACTCTCTATAATAAATTCAGAATCACGTTTCATCTCCATCTTTATCTGTAGAATTATTTTCGATTTCAGAACCGGAATCGGCATCAGATAGTTCTTGCATCAGTTTCACTATTTTTTCATGAGTTAGCCCTTTTCTACGCATCATTAGTGCGTCACTATTATAAATTCATGTAAACAGAATAAAATTTTCCACCAAAACTTGTCTAACTTTAACTCTTGTAAACTTTAATAAACAAAATATCTACATAAAATCTACAAACATTCAGCTCGTAATAATCTTTTTTCTCTGTTTTCTTTCCACAAAGAAAAGTATTGCACATATTTCAAATCATGTGACTGGCAAATGTGAAACTACGCAGACCCACCATATTCTTTTCCTTTGTTTGTATTTTGATTAGCAGGTGCAAATAAAAATAGTTTACAAGAGTAACAGTGTTTAGATAATACAATGGAATGTATTCACATTTCTTTTCTCTCAAAGGGGTCAAAATGATACCTCCCGTATTTCTAGGTATAATCATTTGTTAGGGCTAAAATAAAAATATGATTTTTTTGAAATCTTTACTATTTTGTAAATTACAATGATTTAGGAAAAGTCAAGAAAAGATTTAAGATATTTGTGAAAAAAAAAGAAGAGCTGCCAGAGATAAAAGTTCGCTAGGTGTCAAAATGACCCCTTCCATAATTCTAGTGTTTAACAACTTACATTGAAAGCAATGTTTAATAAAGTAAACAAATAAATATTAAGCTTTTTTTTGTAAATTTTGATACCCTTTAGATCATAATTGATCTTTATTTCATAAATTACGGTTTCATATTTTTAATGGTATAACTTCTGCATGCCATCTTACCGGATTTTTGATGACCTATAATCCGGAAAAACCCCTTATCTGGAGTTGCCGAAGTCCCAACGAGTCCGGATTACAGACTTTGTACTGTATTATCATGCATAAGATGCATAAGCTGTGTCAACATGCATCTTAACATGCATAAGTTGTGTCATCACATCGTTCCCCGCATGACCAAAAGGGAATTCAAATGGAAATAGCAGGAGACTTAATCTCGGCTGGTGATAAAGATCCCTCCCTACTTGGCAGAATTGTTAGTGGAGACGAGAACTATTATTTTTTGTAGGACCTACAAACCAAGAGAGCATCAGGAACATGGAAATCGAAATAATCTCCACAGAAGCAGAAATTCCGTCAAGATCGCTCTAAAGGAAAGGTCATGCTAGAAGTATTCTTCAATATCCAGGGCATTGTGCATCTGGAATTTATCCCTAAAGGATGCACCGTGAACAAAGAACTCTACGTCGAAATCCTGCATCATTTGTGTCAGTCAATCTGGAAGAAGAGACCAAAAATGTGGGCTGAGCAATCATGAGTGCTGTTTCATGACAATGATCCTGTTCACTGATCCCTGATCTCGCAACTTGCGATTTCTTCCTATTTCCTGAACTGGCAAGATGCTTACAGGGTCAACAATTTCAATCTTCAGATGAAGTTAAATGTGCATCACAGGCTGAATTAAAGGACATGGCCAAAAATGGATTCCAAACATGCTTCGATGAACTTTACAGGCGATGGCAAAAGTGTGTTGTTGCACAAGGATCTTCTTTCGAAGGAGGATGTATTTCTGCAATTCATAATATTTTTTACATTATAAATTCAGTCCAGGAACTTTTGAATCCTAACTCGTATATAAACTTATAATATTTGCTATTTAATAATAAATTTATATAAAATATTTATTATTTACAACTACATTCATTTATACATGCACATTTTTAACTTTTACCTCATACTGCTTTAATTTTGTTATTTATATTTTGTAATTCCTTAAATACAATAGAAAATTTTTCTATAATGAAAGCACATAAAAAAATTTCCTTCCTAATTTAGTCTTATTTTCAGTAACGTTATAAAACATTTGTAGTACAAAGGGACTTTACCTTTTAATTCCACATTTATTAAAGATGTTTACAGTTGTTTCAAGAACTTTATCAACGTAATCAACTCTGTCAGGATAACACTTTAGAGCCAGGTTTATGAGAGAAACTTGAAGGGCAACAGTGTCTTCAGATGGCATACCTTGTCTAGACTGTAATTATAAGTTAGTATAAAAATGCAAATGGTAAAATACTGTTAAAATGAATTAAGCTCAACATTTAAACTGCAAAACTTATTGCATATATTTTAATACTCATTAACGTAGTAATACACAAAATAAGTGCGTCAATGCAATAAAATAGAAAGCTGTAAGAATAGAAATTGTTCTGCAAACTATTTGCAGTGGTTTTAATAGAGAAATTTTACTTCTTTTCACACTCAGATGTAATATACAAAAAAGAAAAAGAAAATATTTTTAGGCTTAATTTTTTAAAATTCAATACAGAAGTTTAAAAGTACAGTTGATACTTGTTAATTCCTCATTATTACAATCATTCCATAACAAAGGTTGATACTAAACGCCTCCAACTTATGACAGTATAGTTAAGTTCACATTTGTTATAACAAACACCAATTATAATCTTTCCTCTTTAAGACATAAGAGGTTGTTATAATCCAGATCAACTGTATTTTCATACCTTATAAAAGACAGTTTATTAAACAGAAAATAACCTTTGTTATTATTTGCAGAATGTACATTAAACATCATCCAAAACAAAAAGCATATGTGGAATTCCAGTACACCAGATAGTTTGTTGCACTTTCTAGATTAAGTAAATTATGTTTATTATTTTTATATTTGTTTGTTTAATTTTTTTATCTAATTTTAATATCACAAAGAAAAAGACAAAACTGAACCACAGATGCACTTCTTATACAGCTACAATATGAATTTTGATTAATATGCACAACACATAGATTAGTCTAAAGTATTTGGCAAACATAAAGCTTCATAAATATGCTGTTATGGAGTATTACTCTTCATGAGACTTTATTTAGCCATAATAAATCTTCTTAAATAAATTATTTTAAAATAATGCCTCTGTTTAAGTTTTTCAATAGACAGAAATAGATTATATAAACAAATTATTACATTTCTTTATTAAGCCAGCAAAAATAAGTTTATATGTTTAATTTCAGGATAAGTAAAAATTATTCCATCAATTTACTGTAGTTTGAGTTTTGTTATTTTGTTTTATGGAAGTAAAAAATATTTTATTTCTTGTAACCAAACTGCCATTATTGAAGTAAAATGTGACTTTTTAATAAAACCTTCATTTGCACTATATGAAAAGATAGATCAATTATCTGGATTTTTTAATATATGAATGTGCTACAGTCCTAATTAGTTTAGATACTTGAAATACTAAATGGCAAATCACACAATGATTATCAGTCTGAGACAGCATGGACTTTATATATAGAAAACTTTTTATAGTAAACTATCCCTATTATATTATTTGCTCAATAATCTTACACAGATGAGACTGATCAATTGTTAGAGACCACACCTACATCAAACAATTAGCATTCCTCCATTTTAACCACTTAACAATTTGTTATTTTTAATAAGTAATTCATTTATCTGAGTTAAGCATTTATCTTCTCATTTATGTGAAACCTGTCCAGCAAATAAAACATATCACAAACTCATTATCACCTGGATTATTTGTGCAATCTGATCTGAAAAAATATCAAACAATTTGATTTCTTGAGGAATACCAGTTGCATCATCTCTAGTTGCAAAAACAGCCAATCTGCAAAAGAAAACTATTAAACCTTCTAGATAAAAGGTAAAATATCAAAATATTAATTCTGTATAAAATGTTAACTGCTAGCTTTAAAACTGAAACACCATAAAGAATAAAAGAAAACACAACTAAATTTATTTTACAGATTTCTCATAGTAAAAAGATGAAATTATTAAAATTATAAGTATTGTAAGATGTGCATGACATTATAGACCAGGCATATTTATTTAATCTGAAAAAAAAAAAAAAAAAAAAAAAAAAAAAAAAAAAAAAAAAAAAAAAAAAAAAAAAAAAAAAAAGGTGAACTCATTGGTCTGCATTGAAGTGTCAGAGACTGAGTGTGATTTGTGTCACGCACTGTCCTGTTGGTAGGTGCCTCTAGAATACTCATGAAAATATGGAACTGCTGCAGGCCTTAATATTTCCATAACTTAACAGTGACTGGTCAGAAAGTCAAGCATTTATATCAAACATGAGCACTCTCATATCCAATCACATTCTGTACCATAATCCTAGAGGCAAGCTAGTATGACAATGCTAAGGTAAGATCCCAAAGTGCTAAAGGTGCTAAAGGTAGCTAATCCCAAATGCTATGGTAAGATCCAAAAGATCCATGGTAGTGCAATATAGACACATTTCATTTTTCATCAATAGATTTTACCAATAGCTTTGCTTCTTTTTTTAATAGAACTTTCTTGAATTTTCTAACATATTGTTATCCCGTAAGTATAGGCATTTCCTTTGTCATTATCACTTCTGCAGCTGAAAAAGTTTCTATTTAAACTTTTGAAACTAGTTCTGCATATTTATGTAATGATTTTTGTTACTTTTACTATCTCCTATAATATGCACATATGCTTGCAACAAAAGGTCATGTTCCTCAACATAATGTCTCACTACAAATGTGGACCCATACACTGTATTTATTGTGCTAGGTTGCACAATGTGGCCCTTGTATAAACTATTTGAAAATATGTATATCCAGTTCAGTACTAATGAATCAAAATCATTGTCAGCCCGTGAATCACTCCATTTACAATTCCTTGAGAGTCAGTTCCATATTTGCATGAAACTAGTCAAATTTCCATTAATGCAAGTAAAAATTTGGGTTACAATGATCTGGAATTATTTATGGTATTATTCTTCCATGATCAAATTCAGTATATGATGTTATATATTCCACCTTCTTACTTGAACCATATTCTATGCTTTTAGTCAAACAAAGAAGGTGGAAAAAATTTCTCTATGGGAAACTATCCTCTTCTCTTTTAGACTGATTTTAGGTAGCATTACAAAACCCCTCTATTTGCATATGCACTGCATTACTCATCATTTTCATGTCGTAACATACTTTATTTACTTATGCAAATTTCAGATTGTTTGGTTGCTTTCTTCATGATGCTATTATTTTAATGGTTAGCAGTGCATATATTTTTAAAAATTTAGATCATGGATATATACAACAAAAATTCACAATCATCAAAAGCTTATACTTGGATAATTAGTTTAAAAGAAAATTATTCATGCTTTTTAGTACAATTCTTTGAAACAAAATTTTCATAAAATGACATAAATCAGAATTACAACAAAATTTTATTAACCTTTAAAAGACGTGTGGCCTAAGAATCGGCCATAGCTGCAGTGTCTATAAAGATGGCTGTGGCCAAAATATCGGCCAGCCAATTCCCCTCCCCCCATCCTTCAGGGTGCAGAGATAGTCATTGTCCGAATAACGTCCTTTGCCACTTATGCAAGATGACCTTCGCACCTCCCAACTTTGGGGTTTTGTAAACTCCCTTTCGTTTCCCTCAGCAGTGAAATCTTAGCAATTTTACATTAGTATTAATTTCACCAACTTTTCAGTGTCATTAAAAGTGCATTTTTTCTTTATATTTCCCCTTTTTATTGTAATTTTTGTATTTAATATTGCTGTTTGAAACATGCAAAATGCAATGCAATGAAAATATAATCAATAAAATCTGTTTTTAAAGTAAAGGAAAATAATTAAAAAAAAAAAAAAAAAAAAAAAAAAACGCTAAAGGATAAAAAAAGCTTTTATCACAAAACTGCATGAAAGAACAATGAACAATAATGTAGTTGAAAGTTGAAATAACTTAGGATACAATGGAGGGGGAAATCAATAAATTAAAACTGAATAAGAATGAAAAAGGTAAACGAAACTAATATAAGAAAAATACAACGGGATTTGTTTACTATATAAGCATAAGCTGTTACACAATGCTTGGAAACAAATAAAAGCGAACTGCCGATTTATACGAGAAACAAATAGTTAAACATCATTTTCGAGTATAAATTAAAAATGTTAATTAGTACATGTAATTCTAAACTAAATTCAGTTTGGAAACAAATAAAAACTGAATAATAAACTATGAACTGATTATAAATGTGCATTTGCTGCTAAGGCGCATTTTCATCATGACGCAATGTCAAAAGTTAATATTCCAACATACGACAATTATTTAGCTACGAAATCTCACCATATGTTTCCCTAGTTTAGGGAAAAGAAACAGCAGAAAAGAGAACAAATTCAACAAATTCCTTTATATTATTCCCTAGTCTCTTATCTGAAAAGTAACAAAGGCGACCTACAGGAAAAATTGCAAAAGAGTAGTAGTTCTCCTTTACAATGGCAGCTAAAAGGGGGGTGGAAATGCATTTGGATTTCCTGTCTTTTTAAGTGAAATCTTTCCAAACTGTCCCGTCTTTTAAAGGTTAATAAATTTATCAAAAACTGGAAATAAAAGGCCACATAATATATAATTAATTTATTGTACATTGTTATCTACAAAATTTCCATATGTAAAATTTGCAATTTCTCTCTTTTTTATTAATTTTTAAAATTCAGGTCGCGTAAAAATGCAAAACTAAAGAAGTACTTTTCCATTAACACATTTAATTCTCAATATTTTCGGATCTTAAAACTTTTATATATTATACAATGAATGTTTTAAAATTTAGTAAACAGATACTACATTATTTCAGCACAATATGGAAGCTAATTCAATATTTTAAGAGTGTACAATGGATCTAGAACCTGCACTTTTGTAGGTGGGATTATATCTGAAAGCTCTGATTAGTTCCTTTCTGTGTATGTATGAAGAAAGTCCAGGCTATTAAAGCAGACATTGTCATAAACACTGGTTTCTAATTTCTATTTCATTGTGCAGGAAGTACAGTGACCAATATTCAATCACAACTCAAGCATACTCCTAATGAATCTGGCATTGCTGTTCTTTAGGGTGACAGTTGTAAACCACTTGTTTCAGGCAGAATTTAGAATATTCGTTCAAAGACATCCACTTCTTCTTAATCAAACTTCTTCTGAAAGGATATGAAGCACTTCCACTAGGCTCACCCAAACAGAACAAGACCAAATATTGATTGATACATGTAACGTGAGGAGAGCTAAAATCCCTTTCTGTAACTTGCAGGGATATTTGTAGATTTGTAACATACAGAGTGATTTCGAATTCTCAGTATAGGAAGAAAGGTTGTACATGATGTACTTATTGTTGTTTTTGAATCATACTTATCACTACAGATTAGCAAAAATGAACTAAAAAACTTGTTTACGTTGTGAATTAGATTTCCTTGAACTTTTCCACTCCATTATTTCAAAACCTGCAACCTTCAGAAAATATTATTTCCAAACTAGTTTTCATAATAACCTATCTCTCTTAGCTTTTGCTTCTAACCTAGCTCTCTTAGCTTTTGCTTCTAACTTATTAACTTCTAACTTAGCTCTCTTAGCTTTTGATTCTTTTCATTTCAATTTTAGGTAGCAGTGCCCGTTCAATTTCATTTCCCTTACTTGAGCAATTTTTTACTTGCCGAAAATGCAAAATAACTTTCTTTCTTGAAAGCCTTGTTATTTGATATACTTGTAGAATTGTCTATAAAAGCTACACCAATACATGGTTGATTTTTTTTTCTTCATTTTTAAAAATTTCATTCTGCCTTTACCAACACAGATACATTCTACAGAACTGTTATTCTCTCTAAGCTTACAAGATGTATCTCTAATACATGGTGCCTAAAAAACATTTGTATTCTTAAGCATGATCGAATTATAGAAAATTCTAATTTGCAACAAACGAGGTAGCTGAATTTAGACACTTCATGCACATTTCAACAAGACGTATAGACCATATCACATTCCACAGAATGACTCACAATTTATAACTCCTAATATTCTGAGTCTAAAATCTTCCTATGCCTTAAAAAGGTAAACCATGCAAAGATAGAGTTTGTAACAAGGTGATTTTAGACTCGTTGTTCAGACTTTAATAAAAGAAAATAAAATGATGTTTACAGGCACCATCCTTCATCCTTCATTAGAGAGTGTTGCTAGAGTATAAATGAAAGGCTGAAATTTGAAAAAAAGAAAATTATGACAATTTTACATATACATTATCCAAATTATCCAAATTAAACTTCCCCAACTCAGAGGCCTGTGCAGAGTGTTGTATGGGTCATAATGTGATGAAATTTTAAAAACAGACACTTCAGATCATGCGCTCGAGATTGATTAAAAAAAAAAAAAAATAGTACAAGAAGTTGCCGATAGGTGGCGCTGCAGATCAACAATACATTCTACACATGTTCTATACGTGTGCCGTGGTTCTCCACAACTCTTTCCATTCGCAAAGCAGTGTGTTCCACAGCGGAACACAGTAAGTCCACATTAATTCCACGACATGTCGAATAATCTTTCAGATGTGCCAAGGTTGCTGGGTTTTCTCGGTAGACCCGATCCTTTAAGAATCCCCATAACCAAAAGTCGCATGGTGTGAAATCAGACGAGCGAGGAGGCCAAGCTGTAGGGACACAGTGGCTGATCACACGTGCATCGGTAAAAGTTGCCCGTAACACCTGTTGAATGCATACTTGCCAACCTATGACACTCAAAAATCAGGAGATTTTTCATAATGTTAAAAAGACTTTTTAAATGATAAAAATATAGTTTTTAATAATGAATTAACTTT